TCCACCAGCGCTCGTCAATAACCTGATTTATGCGGACGACACTTTGATTTTGAGCCTGCAACCGCGGCAAGCTGAATCCTTCATGTATCGAGTTTTGGATGCTGGGAAAGTATATGGCTTATTGTGGAATTGGCAAAAGACCGAAGTTTTGACGATAGGTTGTGCATGAACATCGATATGCCGGTCCACGATGCGCGGCTTATCGAGGTCGTCTGCAACGGCCTGCCGCTTCGGCACGGCGCACAACTTGCCGTTGACGCCACGCTCGTCAGTCCGGTAACTCGAGATGGCCGCCCGCATGACGGAGCCGACAACCACCCAGGTTGGGCTGTCCGCAATGCAGCGCGACGCAAACGCCGGCAAACATACCCCGAGCTCGACCGCAGCTGATGCTGTCGCCTCGTCGTTTTCGGACTCGAGGTTGGCGGACGCTGGGCTGAGGCTGAGGAAGCCGCTGCCTCCTCGCGAGGAGGCCGGGCGCGTGCAGCCAGTGTCCCTGCCGCTGTCCGCAACTCCGTCCAAGCTGTATGGGTTTCCGGCTGGAGTGGCCTCATCTCCGTTGCGGCGCAGCGTGCGCTCGCTGCCACTTTCTTGGAGCTCCCCCTCCAGTCGGAGTTTGGTGCTGCTGGCCCGCCGCCAGCTCTGCACCAGCTCCTTGCAGACGCACGCTGGAAGGAGGCTCATGATTGCATTTTTGCCGCATTCTTGGACGACACTTATGTCGTGTCAGCGCCCGAGCGCACCGATGTGCTGCACGGTGCCCTGGAAGACGCGCTGTGGCGCCATGCGCGCATACGCTTGAACCAAGGCAAAACCCGCCGTATGGAATGCCGCCGGTGAGGAGCCCGCCGGCCTCGCCTGTATTCAACCAGTCGGTGCAGACCCAGTCCCCAGGACCAACTGCTCACCCGCCTGCCCGCCGCTGGGGACCTGCAGTGCGCGTGGCTCCTCCTGCGTTTTGGCCCCCCTCGCAGCCTGCTCGTCATGCGGCCGCCTGTTTCCAAGACCAAGGCTACAATGCTCCCGCGTGGGACGCGCTGCTGCGGGCGTTGCCCGTGCAGGAAGAACGCGAGTTCGGGGTGTTTCAGCGAGGCTGGCAGCAGTGTGCTGCCCGTGCCCGCGACAAGCGCGCGCTTGATTTGCATCTTTTTCACATCGATGCCGCATCTCGAGCGCTGCAGTCGCAGGCCGGGCCACGAGCTGCGCGCGCCTTTGCAATCTTCCCAACCTCAGCCGAGGTGACGGTGCCATCACCACTCCTCCGGGTCCTGCTGCTACGACGGCTCCGCTTACCGCTGCCCGTGGCACCGCGCTTGTGCACCTGCCGCGGCCGCCTTGACCTTCTCGGCGACCATGGGGCTGCATGTGCGACTTCCGGTGTGCTCGCATCCCGAGCCCTTCCTCTCGAGAGGGCGGTGGCAAGGGTTTGCCAGGTCGCCGGTAACATTCGCCTGGCCGACATGAACATCGATGTTCCGGTCTCCGATGACCGCCGCATCGAAAGTGTCACGAACGGGCTGTCCCTGTGGCATGGCGCGCAGCAAGCTTGCCACTATCCTCCCCGTGACGCGGGCGGGTGCGGCCCAGCCGGGTGCAGACGTGTTCCCCGGTCGAGCTGTTGAGGGCCGCCCGCCGCAAACGCTACCAGACCTACCCCGAGCTCGTGCGCGCTCGCCGCTGCCGCTTGGTCGTCGGTGTCGAGGTTGGAGGCCGGTTTGGTGCCGAAGCTGGCACCTGGCTCCGGTTGTTCGCCAGGCAGCGTGCCTCGGAAGTGCAGGTAACCATGCGGGCGGCAGCGCGTGCGGCGTGGGTTGCCCGTTGGTCCGGCGGCACGGCGCGCCCTCACCGCATCCCTGCTTGTTGGAGCTCAATGTCGCCGGACAGGCGCCCGAGCTGCACGAGGTCCTCGCCGACGTGCGCTGGCAGCTTCCGGTAATCGGCAGCCGCCAGGGGCCCCACTAGTGCCCATAGTGCCTTGGCAGGAGCGCCTCCGTAGGACCAGGTTGGCACTCACGAATGAGACCTTGGGCTGCTGGAAAAACTTCCGCGGGAAGAAAAACAAAAGGTGCCTTTGAAAAAAGAATCTTCTGGGCTCTTGTGGTTTCCGATGTGTTCCCTTCATACAGCTTGGCTTTGTAAAGTTGACCTTCGCAAAATTGATGCCTTTCAAGCCCGTTGCTTTCGTTCCATCCTCGACATACCACACTCATACACCAGCCGTGTGCGCAACGAGATCGTGTTACTTCTTGTATGATGGGACGTTTCAGCCGCGATGGCATGATGGACTTCGGAAGTGGGGTAGACCCAAACAAACATGGCTTTCAGAAGTTTCTCGCATGGTTCTGGATATGTGCGGCGACCGGCTTAGTTACGAGACCTTATGGAACCAAACTCCAACAGTTATGCAGCACAAACTGCCCACATATAATTACACACGCATGCCACAACAGCGAAACCATGACCTTGACCTTGACCCTGACCCACATAAAAGCGGCGAACGTGGCCACGGCTGGGGTGCAATTATCGACGCTTATACGGTGACCACCATGCTGCTTGCCCTGTAAATCCCTGTGCCGGGCCGCTCGCCCGCCAAAACAAGCACTTTGAGCACGCGTGGGTGCGCGTTGCTCGTGAAGCCGTCGGACCTGAGGCCAGGTCGTCCCGCAACAATGGTTCGCACATACATACGTCTCCGACGTCGATCCTCCTCATTGAAGCCGCCTTGACTTTGTGGCGTAGGGGGCTGCTCCACTTGGAGAGGCTTTGTGCTGCTCACGCGCGTGTCCCCGCTAGTGTCCCCGCTGACACGGGATGGGCGCCTGCAGCCTTCTGCCTCATCGCGTGACGGTGCCGTGATCGCTGTCGCTGAAAGCGTGCCCCGAGCTTGTCAAGCTGGACCATTGCGGCTCTGCGTCCTTGCGTGCGAGGCTGGGCTCTGGAGCGCATCGCTTCACTGCGTATCCGAGCTCGTAGTGCTCCGAGCCCAGCGCGGTCCTGCCGCCCTGCGCAGCGCCGGTAATGCCGGTAGCTGGGCCTGGCTGCGCCGCTGGTGGTGCCTGGAGCGTTGCCTTGCAAAGCACCCTTGCCACAACGCTGCTGGGCACGCTATACATTGCTGGAGCCATGCCTGGCTTCCAGCTCCTCGCGCTCGGGGACGTTCTGCACGATGCAGGCCTCATCAAGCCCCCTCCACCCCAATTGCACGGGGACGCTGTTGCGTAGCCGTCACCACCTTCACCCTGAGGCGCCCAACGGCCGCCGGAACACATCCTCCGCGAGGCTGCCCTTCCAGCTCGCAGTGCACCCATCCTTGACGAGAAGGTGCGCGGCTGGAAGCTTTTCACTTTCGCGCCTCACATGCTGTTATACCGGTCGGCCTGGGGGTCACGCATTCCGTCCGCCGAACTCAACCGGCGCCGAGCTGTTCCGGGCTGGACGTTGGACGGAGCTCCTCAGGGAAGCCGCCGCCGTGGCCGCCGTGTCCCCCAGGTAGGCGACGGGCCGAGCTCTTCGCAGAGGCGCGCTAGCGACTGACTGCGGGACCGCGAGCAGAGGTTGCTCGCAATTAGCTTGCAGTTTGCACAGGGACCGCCCGTACCAATGGCTCGTATACAGGTGCGGGAAAAAGGTTGCAAACATAGCAAAAACGTTCGTGCAAGCATGGGCCCAGAAAAGGCTTCGGCTGCGCACTGAGCACGAGCTCCTTGACAACTGCCGAAGCGTCCCCACATGCCCACCTCGGCGTCTGCGGCGTGCGCCCACGGACGTGTTGATACCGTGTGAACGACACCGCTGACAATATTCGGAGAACGGGCGATGCGGAGACCGCTCAGCGATTGTCCCACGTGGCGCATGCTCCTCGATGGAACGTAGCCCGACTCGCCAGTGCCCGCTGCCGGGGATTTGCCATGCTGCGTGGCGAACCCTCACCGTGCAATCTCGCGATTGTGCTGCAGTTCGCACATATTTTTCCACCCCTAGGTCGGCATCTGTGGTCCACTGGCTAGTCCTGCGGCCCAGGCGGTATCGCGGCCTCGCCGCCCAGCACCCTCCCTCTCCGACGATGAGCGCTTCGAGTGGAGCAGAAGCTGCGAGCAGAGACGACCCTGCGATGTTTTATTTGGCAGAAGCAGAATGGAGAAACAACCACATAAACTCCGTGCAAGGGCCGCAATGGCGCTGACTGACGTTCGATGCTTTCGGCAGCTTTCACGTAAGACGCAACGTTATGCTCATGACAAGGGTCTCCAGGTGAGTGCTAGGGGCCAGGCAGATGTTTGGCATGGGTTCCTGTGGGCATGTTCCTCTAACGATGGACAAGCATGGCTGTCATCATGTCGCCCGGTGGTGGCCCATCTTCGAGGCTGACAAAAGTATCAGTACCAGTCGGCATGATAGGGTGCAAGTGCACTAAATCCAATGTTTGTGTGTTGGACAAAGAACCATCATTGGCTGGAACGTTCCAATCATGCAGGCACAAAGCTCTTTGCTTGGTTATCGGCGCATGGTGCCGTGCTCAGGTTGGCGATTGAGTTGGACATGCAATATGTGTTTCTTCTGTCCGAGGGTGTGTTGCCTTTTCCTGGATTTGCGCGGTGGTAATCCGCGCTATGCCGGGCCAGGCCTTCAGCAAGGCTTCATGGCATTCGCTTGATGCAGCAATGATGGAACATTGCGCAGGTGGCGATTTGGACACCAGAACCAAGCAGCCAAAGAAGCTGCGAAAGGCAGGTGCTTCCATGGTTAGTCGTTTGTGCATTGCACAAGCTGTACAACCTCCCTTCGCGCCAGCCACCGTGCCAAGTTTGCAGCATCTGCTCTTCAAAGCTTCAGTCCCAAAGTAGATGCAGAGTAAACCCTTTTTATGACAGCACCCTTTGTAGCATAGCGACCACCTTGAACAAAATGCTAAAATGAACAAACTCAATCAACGATGGCTTTGTAAGGGGCGCTAGCTGCCTCAGGCCAGAAAATTTGGAGCCGATATCGTCATTCGAGCCATGCTGACAGAACTTCACAAGCGCATAGGCACGGAAGGGCAGTGAAACTTGTGAAAGCCCATACGTAGACGCGCCCAATCTTTGGAAATCGACCTTGTCTCTGGGCCAGAGGTGTTTTCGTCGGACTGGTGACTTGCCTGTTGCTGCCGATGTGGGCCTCCGAGCTGTACTGCTACGTAGTCTTGTGCTGCTTTGTCGCTGGAGGCTGGGAGTTGATGCTCCAAGTGTGGCCGGGAAATTTGAGAGCGAAGGTAAGATAAAGGATGCCAACAGCGCACCAGGTGCACCAGCGGTACAAGACGCCCGCAGGATTGGAATGATAAGAAGGTGAGAGATCGGAGCCATACGAGGGAAAAGATGGCTGGTGAGCATAGGCAACGTGAAAGGGGCCAGAAAGATTTAGTAAGAAGTCGAGAACGAGAGAAGGAGACAAAAGGCATCAGCGTCTCAGGATCTGGATAACAAGGGTACGTGTGATTTCGGGAGGGGCAGCTGTGACATGAGCGGTGGCAAATACTCATAAGCACGACATGTGTAGAACCGGTGCATGACATGAGGACAAGCAGCAGGAATAGTATAGACAATCGGAGTGCAGTGGATAATGGGCATGAGAAGATTGCTTCAAAAGATCATCCAGTCGGGAATGTCGGGCGAATCTTGTCAACAACGTTTCACCAAATGCAGCGCAGATAGCAAAGGCATGAGGAGAAGAATGCTTGATGTTGGGATTTGTGCTTGGGCGGTGGGGAGCGCAGGGCAATAGGACGCTTCGCGATGCAACAGGATATGCGAGCAAGGTTTATGACGACTCGGACATGAAACTCCCATTAAAAAAACATGGTGAGACCTTCAACAATCCGATCAGCCACGTGACTGTCGAAGCTCGCCAGTCAAGATGCTCAGTGAATGTTTTTTCCCCTTCCCATTTCCCGCGAATACCATAGTGATTTGTGTGAAGGTGCAGTATCTGCTAACTTTTCTAGTTGCGGCACATGCCCAGCATGCAAAGCACTCCGCACCTACTTTGCTCGCCTCTACGCGGCTCCCGACCGCCCCTTCTATCACGCTCTGGTGCTGGGTATGAGTGCTCGACTTTGGACCGCAATCATCGATATGTGCTACGAGGACTACTGCGATAGGATGCTTCCTCCCATTATAGGGATTGGGTTTACGCCTCTGCCTTGCCGGAAGATTATCTAGACACGCTCCCTAGAGTTTGGGACCCGCCCGAATATGATGGACACACCTGCCTTCACTTCACGACCTTGGCCCGAGTGCAAACACTTACTTACTCCACTTGAAGTCGCCAGCCCGCAAGGCTACAGCAGGCTTATGGACCTCCTGAATTTTGGCACTTTCCTCCCGCAGTTGCCGAGCTGGTCCCTTCCTTTGATTTGCCCATGCTCTTTGAATTCCCCGATTTCGGAAATCGAGGATGGTCGGACTCCGCGCTGTTGGCCTTAAACTCAAAAGAAAAAGTCACTGGGCATTCGTACTGCTCCGCGGTTGAGACGTTTAAGAACCCCCCGAGAATGGGATGGGAACTGCGTTGATGCCCACTTAGTTTTCAATGACAAAGATTCTTTTTTACTTAGACCAAGGTATTTCCCAGCTTAGTGTGATTAATTCTTCAAGACGCATATCAGAATACACCTTGGGATAACAGTGCTCTCAAGAAGTTGCCTGCCTCCGGTTCGATTTGTTTTGACTTGGTCTATTATCAGGTTATTGCTGACAACAGCCAAACTGCACCCGACGACCAGTTCGTAATCCTCACGACGGCATGGTGCGTTTTCCTCCCGGGGAGTGAGCAATACCTCTTGAGCTGTGTTCAGAACATCACAAATCTTTTATTGAGCCAAGCTCAAGTCAGACTCGAGTTGGGCACAAGTCCCTGTATTGGGGGATTGTCCGGGGCCATGCCGCTGTCTGAAGAGCAAAACAAGCCCCTCAAAACAAACGAGACAGCAATATCTTTCCGAGGCGAGAACCCAAAGAAACCAGGATCCAAAGCTTGGGAACGTTTTGAAAAATACAAGACAGCGAAACGATCGGTGAAGCTACCAACTTGGGCGCGCAGTGGCAAGACATCAGTGCCGACTTCGAAAAGGAATTCCTCACATTCACTGATGTGGACATGCCGATGATGTCAAAGAGATCAGCGCCAGAGGGTAGCCCGGATAAGGAAGCAAAAGCTAGATCCCGACACAAGCCTGCACAGGTACACGAAGGAGCACTCAGCGCGCCCAGCAATCAGGACATTGCCAAGACACAATTGGAGATGAGTGCTGCAACAATATCCATTTTACGGACCATGATGCGAGAGGAGTTATCCGAAGTTGAACACCGCATATCTTCCAAGTTCGATGCATCACTGATGCATCCATTGCGAATTTGCATGCAGAGTTGGCTGCCGAGAAACAAGCGCGAACGAAACTTGAAGAACGCATCGCCCGTTTGGAAAGCAACCACGACCTTCACAACAAGGATGCTCGAGAAGATGTCGACAAATCCATCGTGGTCATCGGGGGGTTTGGCGAGAAGTCGATGGAGGAGGCGGAAGCACTATCACGCGAAGTCTTGCAAGACGAACGTGGACTTTGTGATGTTACCGTCGCAGATACCGAACCTGCTCTAGCACTCGCTCGCTTCGAATCGCCATCCATAGCAATGAAGTTCATTCGTTCACAACGGAAGCACCACAGGTTGCAAACCGCAAAGTTGTGGGCCGCAGAGAATCGTTCACGCGAAGAACGTCGCCGTTTGAAGGTTGTCAGCAAGCATGCAAAGTGGTTATTCGCGACAACGCAAAGCTTATGCCAATCGCAAGCATCAATGAGGACTTGAGCGTGAATTGGTTGCACAATGGTACTGAGCTACAACCTGTTCAGGTAGCACTTGAGGAGTTCATTGCCGATATGGAGTAGGGTGAAGGAGTGGCGATGCACCAACGGAGGGTTGCTCCCGATAAGCGTGCAACACAGGCCACACAGCAGCAAGACGAATTCATTCATGTGCAAAGGATCACAAAGAACGTACAAAGCATCAGAGACCCGTCTAGACTTCAAGATTTTTTGACAGAGTTGAATCATGTTGAGTATGACATTCTGCTACTCAGTGAGACGTGGCGGAGTGAACCCGAAGAGGTATTAACATCTCCGCATGGTGATGTGCTTTACTTGAGTGGTGGTTCATGCAGCAAAGGTGTGGGCATCTGTGTGTCCAAAGCTATGCAAAAGTCGATGAGCAATATCTTTTTTCATGCGATTTCTTCTCGGATCTGCATGTTGGTTTTCCGACTGGCTAGCCGCATGGTCCATGTATTGGCATGTTATTTCCCAACATGCTGGGATTCCTCTGAAGCAGTAGAGTTCCTCGTCACATCTTTGTTGTTACAGAGTCAATGCAATCCCAACGCTATGCTTATTTTAGGAGGTGATTTCAACGCATGTGTGGGAGCATTCCAAGCTCATGATGACGAAACCCATGTTGGGCCATGTGGTGAGGGCAACCGAAACGATCGGGGCTCCATGCTTGTCCGATGGATCATGAGTGAGAACTTGCAGCTTTTGAACCGTATGACTCAGAACCCAAGTCATGACAGCTGGACATGTCA